AACCAAATTATAATTTATTTTTCGATTCTATCATTACATTGGTTCGTCAAATTTTAAAGGAAATAATAAAAACAATCAAAAACATTTAATCAAACTGGCAAGAAGAAAAAAAAAAAGAATTTTCTAAATCAAAAGAGAAAAAAATATCAACAAATAAAACAAAATTGAACCAAAAAGAAAAGGTTCAAACAAAAAAATCATCTAAAAAAACAATATCTAAAGTTACATCAAAAACAAATTGTATTGGTCGTGGACATAAATATCAGATAATATGACAACAACAAAAAAAAGAAGAATATGTTCGGTAGAAACATGTGGAAATATTGCTGATTACAATATCTGTAGAATATCTAGACCATCTGGTTCTTTAATTGATAAAATCGATTTTGATGATAGATTTATTGCTCTTGAGAAAAGATTCTATGTATATCATTTATTACAACAAGAGAAAACATTTAAATCTTTAAATTTATTAGTTTTTTTTTTATATTTGAAACTTGTTTCTTATCATCCACCTACTTTAGAATCAACTTATCGACTTTCAAATGAAACAAATCTAACAAAATTAATGTCACCATTTAAGATTGATCTTTATCTTGTTAGAGTATGTGATCTTGAAACAGCAAAAAAAAATGATTTAACAATAGAAGATATTTTGAAACAACCTAGAGATATAAAAAATCATCAGTTGAAAGATAATTATGATATATTATTACAATATAGTATACAAATTAATTGTTCAACAGAATGTGTTTTTAACGAACATGAAATAGTAATGTGTAGAAAGTTTTTAAAAGAAGAACAGAAAACATGTGAAATATCTAATAATACAGGTGAAAATATAGTTTATGATACTGCTAATTATAGATTGATAATTGTGATTAATTATTCAGATTGGATGTATCAAGGACGTTTTAGAGATACTAATATGGATATAAATGATAAAATTAAGTTGGAAGATACATTTGGTGAATATGATTCTGGTTATCTAGTTTTTATTTCAGATGGAAGTATTAATATAGCATATTATCCAGATTTGACACAAGTTAATAGTATTCAAGCATTTTCTCAAATGGTTGCAAATCAAATAATAGAAAAAATATCTAAATTTCCTGTTAAGGACAAAGATAGGAAAGAGGAACTTTAATTTTTTAATATAATATTTTATTTTATTTTATTTTTTTATTAATTTTATAATAAATATAAATACAAATAT